GAGAATCTAGATGAATAACTTTGATTGACAAAACAGGTTGTAAATTTAGAAGTTTGAATTCAGCTTTGAATTTTCAAATGAAAGAAAAAGCTGGGCAAGGAATAGGCTTAGTTGTCAACAAGGCTAATCTTATTACGGAGGAACAAGAAAACTATTTGTGGGAAAACGGGTTTTTAGGGAGCGACAACGCAGAGCTGCTTTGCCACACTTTGGTCTGGGTTTTTGGCATTCAGTTTGCTCTAAGGGCTGGGCAGGAACACAGGAATTTGAGATTTAAAAACTCACAGTTATCGCCTGAAAGTGACGAATCGGGTAATGAATTCTTACAGTATATGGAGGATATCAGTAAAACTAATAATGGCGGTTTGAGCCATTTGCGTATCAAAGGAAAAGTTGTTCGGGCATATAAGAACTTAACCAATGTAGAGCGTTGCCCAGTTGAGCTGTATAAGAAATACGTATCTCACGTGCCGAAAGAAATCAGTGACAACGCATTCTATTTGCGGGCTTTGCCAAAGCCAAAGGGGACGTATGGTATTATAATAAAGCTATGGGGAGGAAACGTTAGGGAACGTAGTTAAGAATATTATGCGAAGAGGAAACGGGTTTGAGGGCACTTTACAAATCATTCCCTTCGACGAAGTTGCGCCACACGATTGTACGAAGGTGGTGTGCCAGAACAAGAAGGTAGTAACCACTGGTCACCGATCATGTGATGGGGTTTGGGGAGTATCAGTGTACCTCATCAACACTTAAAACGAAAGCAAGTGAAATCTTGCAGGGAGCGACTCCTAAGGGGGCAAGAAATAGACGTCCAAGGAAAAAAATGAAAAACTGTTTAACAATGATGTTGAGCAAAAATATGATGGACAAAGGGAAGAAACAGGGGTTACAGGGTTAAGCGAAAAGGTTTTAGACGAAAACCAGAGCGAAGATTATAATCAGTCAGTTGTAATTAGTACTCACAGTACGAAAATTGTTATTTCTTACAAGTGAGAAAGACTGTCATTGTCAGATTTGCCCTAAATAAACTGTAAAATGTTTTCGTCTGTACGTCTCCTGGAATGGTACTTCTCATGGTGTATTCATTTACTTTTTAACTTCAGATCTTCATCATAAATTATGCGCGGACATTCGCGAATTTTCAAAAATTACTGAGTGGAAAAGTAACGAAGTAAATACCACAGTCATGCAGCAATATTAAAAATATTGCTGGTTTGATTTTAACAAACAAAGGTAATGTTGAACTTCATCCGATTGACAAAGTGTACTTAAATAACAATAATTGCTAATATGTTTTGTAATAATTTATGTTCCTGGTTTAGTAAAAACATTGTTTTCTCACTATCGGCAAGAGAGATTATCTCGCCAATCAAGTTATCCTGGCAAATCAATTTTTTTACCCTCTGATTTCTCTTTTCTTTTTATCTGCAAGTATACAATGTTTATTTCCTATATTTAGTCCTGACCAAGAGCAGGCAATTCAGATGGAGCCATTGAATGCAGAAGTAGATAAGTGGGAGGTTGCGGTTAACCGTGTGCTGCTACAAGATGTCATTGGACGAGGGGCGTTCGGAGCCGTGTGGAGAGCTCTCCTGAGTTCACCAAATGGACAACCTGGAAATCGGACAGTGGCCGCTAAATGTTTCACGCGTTAGCCTCCTTCGATTTGTTTTATTGATAAATATGTTGATCTCAGGGGTGGTTATAAAAATGTTTTATTTGGGGAAGGGGGGGGAAGGAAAGAGGGTCCAAAATTACTTCTCGACCAACGTACAACCCCCTCTTCTTCACTCAAGGTTACGCGCGGGAAAAAAAAAAAAAAAAGAGAAGGCGGGGGAAGGAGCAAAGAAACAAAGAAGATAATCAACCAGTTTGCTCGTAAAAGTGATCCTGCAATAAATCCTTTTTCCCCCGGAGGGGGGTGTTGCGGATACGTTGGTTCCTCCCTCTAGATCCGCTGCTGAATCCAGTAGGGTCTTTTCCTTCCTTTGGACCTATTCTCCCCTTACCAGTGACTGATTATCCCGTGTTGAAGTAGGCAGTCTAACAGACTGACTATACGGTGCTTTTCGCTGGCAAAAGACATTTACCGAACGAAAGGTGAGAAGCATCTGCAGTGATGGTAAAACTAAAGAGAGCAAGAACTATCGATAAGATTCAAACCTCAACTGGTTTCGATTCGGCCTCTATACTCACAGTCAACTCAGCCGTGGCTGAGGTCTGAGAGATAGGCAATCTGCTAGCTGCGAAAATTATCATCCAAACGGTTATAGGAATATGCGAGGTTTGTAACTCTTCCGAATTCTTTCTGGCTTGAACTTGCGTGGAACAAATGTATTAATCAGAATGTGTCTCAATGAATGTATACTTTTGTTGTAGCCACTGCTGGAGAGGAAGGAAGGAAATGTCTGATGAGGGAAATTGAGCTGGGGAAACTTATCGGTGAAAACGTTCCGCCAAACATTGTAAAGTTCATGGGCTGCGTTACGACAGAAAGTAAGTACTAAGCGTAAAGCATCTTTTCTAGGTATATTTTATTAACGATAGTACAAATGCTGAATGAACCCTCTTCGGACCTCTTAACATGAGTTCCGTAAATAAAATGTTAATGGAACGAAGTTTGTCTTCTTTGTGTGGCAACCAGACTGTTTTCTCCAAGAGCATGTATCCATCGACAGTTCACTAAGATCTCGGTCGGATAGCCTGAAATCTCGTTAAATGGGCTAACCGGCTTTCTCCCTTTAACCTATGGCAAATTTTTGAAAGTAAATTCTGCTGAGGGTAGGTAACGAAAAATGAGTCCTTCGTGTAGGCTAAACTGCTTTATGAAGAAAGTCATCCGGAATGTTTTTTTTATATATATATACAGTAAGGAGCCTTGACATGGGGTTTATTTACTTTTTCTTTTGTTTTACGTCGCTTAAGTTCACCCAATACTCATCATGGAGTACATGCCATGTGGTGACCTCCTTGGTTACCTGAGAAAATGTCGAGGAGTGAGGGATCGCTATTATCTTGGTGAGGGAAGAGCCCAGGATTTGACCAACTACGATCTTGTGATGTTTGCCAAACAAATCGCCGCCGGTATGGTGTTCCTTGGATCGCGAGGGGTAAGTGGAATACTTTTCGCATGTCAATTCTAACTCAGAAAAATCTTTCAAAGATTTAAACTTTTATTTTTTAATAGTTCGGATTTTGGCCAACATATTTGAGTGCTTTTGAATTTAGATAAAACCTCTAAGACCTTTTTTAGCCATGATGCTTTTTGTTGACATTAGCAGGTCACTGCTTTTAATAAAAAAAGTAGAAATGTTGGTTTTGTCAGCATTAAATCATTATATAGGGCTGACTTAGTTTGAGCCCTTTTTCGTTCGAACGTACTCAGACGTTTGATTCTCCGCTGCACTATATATACACCTATCGTTTCTTAGCTTTTGTATTCTGGCTCCTTATCTTCTGATAGATCATCCATCGTGACCTGGCAGCTCGAAACATTCTCCTTGATAAAAACTATGTTTGCAAAGTGACGGACTTTGGTATGGCATATCAAAGCTTCAAGTATGGCCATGGAAATGCCAAAAAGGTAGAAAACACTTTTTTGTTGCAACAGTGCGGGGTTTTTCTGGAAACAAGTTGTAAGCGTAAGCATATTCTCTGCAGAAAGTTAATGTACCTCGACTACCAACAGGGTTTCATAGCTCACTTTGAATTAAAAGAAAGAAGCAAAACAAAACAGAGTTCGAAATAAACAGAATAAGCACTCTGGCCTGGGCATCGGGATATGTCAATTTCATTTACGTTTTTTGTAGAAAGTCTCGCGAAAGGAGTTACGTTTTCTGTTTTGCGTGACAGCTTTACGAAGGCCAACATTGGATTGACCTATAAGGGAACGAGAAATGTAGTTTTCTTTTCTCATTTTAACATATTTACGTTATGCATGCAGCTTCATATTTTTTTAAAGATGGCTTTGAAAAAAAAGGGACATAAGTTTTGTACGGCAAACGTTTATTGGTTGTTTCTCCAGGGATGTTTGCCAATCAAATGGACTGCACCAGAGATTCTGCTGGGAGAACTTGCTGGACTTTCCACCTTGAGTGATGTGTATGTATAGATATGTATATTAATCCAACAACCTAACAAACTGATTACCTTTGGATTTTTCTTTATCATTTCTAGTCCAAAATTCACTCAGCGATTAACTGTGGAATCTTTGTGATATGCTCTCGTTAGGTGGTCCTATGGTATCGTTCTTTATGAGATAGTTACCCTTGGTAAGCCATACTATGTTCAGTCAATACATTTAACGCTTAGAACAGCAATGCGCAAGCGCTATAGAAGTAATGCTATTTTTGTTATTATTATTTTAATAAGATTTGTTATTACTTACTCCTTGGCCATTTATCCCTGTAAAATTCTTTAAGCTAATTCTTTAGATCTTACGTAATGTTCCGTCCTGTAACTTAGTTGTGACATGGTCACTGCAGAGTTGATATATTAAGAAATGTGACATGTACTTGTCCTTATGCATTGACAGGAGGAATTCCGTACGACGGATGGTCAGAAGGCATGGTGGTTGCAGAGGTCACAAAGGGATATCAGATGCCAAAGCCTGATCATGTTGATAACAAAGTGTGAGTTGCACTTTTTTAGCATAATATCAACGTCTTCCCAAAAATAACCTAAGATCTAAGACGACACATTTACCGTTCTCATTGCTGAAATCTTTGCAATAAAGCAACTGGACTACAATCATATCAGTAGGTTTCTGTTATGTGATTGTGAACCAGGAGCATCCCGCATTCAGCGAGATGCAGCGTGGACAATTATGACATTAAAATGTATTTGAAAAACATCAGAGCGAGTGAAGTAGTGCGATATGTTCGACGTCCCAGAACAAACCTGAATCATTGCCTATACTATTTTCAATAAAAGGACAAACCTGAACCATTGCCTATACTATTTTTAAGAAAAGGTTCCTGTAGGAGGACCTTATTGGTATTCTTTGCACAATCTATAAAAGAGTAGTTAAGAGTAGACCATCCTTGTTAAATTTCAGGTATGATATCATGAAAAGGTGCTGGAATCGTAACCCTGACTTCCGTCCTCCTTTTGAAAACCTGCGACAAAGAATGGACAAATACATTCGTGAAGAGGTTTGTTTCTAGAATTGACAACTTCCCAATATTTTATGCTTTTTAAAGTCTCGAAAACTTTCAAACTTCTTACCTTTCCCCCATGTGTTGGGAGCAATACTTGGTAGCTTTGGTTTTATTTCCGTTCGCTCTATAAAAGCTTCAGCTGAGACCATTTATACTTCTGGTAAGAGACATTTTCTAGCCTGTCAGGCCATTTAGAAGTATTTCAACTTGTTGGCTCCTTCTGATATTTACGGCGATTGTGATCGTCTCCATAAATCTGCTCAGTTCTACCCACGTACTTGCAACTTCTCTATTTTTAGAGAGAAAATAGGAAACTCACTTAGCATATCCTAGACTTTAAACTTTAGCGCTCTGCAGCTGATGTATTACCCTCATTTGTTAATTTTTTTCCTAAGACATATGTGGAACTTCTTGACATGGGCGCTTATGACAAGGCAAAATACTCCAGGGTTGAAGATCTCGGAAATGAAGATGCAGGACCAAGTGAGGAAGTTGCAAAGAAGACCTCAGCTAAGGGATTGGGAAGAAGTGCCAGTGACCGTCGTTAGGGTACATAATCGTCACTTCTCGGTGCTAAACTAAGTGTAGGTTTGTGTTAGTTAAATTTCTCTCCATATATATATTAGAAGAATATGCGAAAGCTTTATCCTTGATTAACAAAATGATAATAACAAAAGTACAAAAAACTAATGAATTAATTCTCAAAGAATACCAATAATAAATAATTTAATCGGTTTCAGTATAAGGAAAATTGTATAGATATGAATTGAACTTACGTAATCGATAAAATCAGAAGAGAAAAAAACAAACAAACAAATAAAAAACAACCAACTTGAAAAACAGCTCGTTTATGCAGACAGCTGTACTTTGCAAACTTTGCAACAACATTTCATGTTGTATTGTGAAACTATTTAGCAAATTTGCTTGTGGCAGACCTAGTAGGAGATCTCCTAACGACGGTATGAAATTTGGTAAAATTTTGTAGTTTGATTATGAATCAGTCGTGCGGTACTAGTTAGCACTGAGGTATCACTTAACGAAGCATCTTCTTTAAATTATATGCATCACTTCTGGTGATTTGTTTAACTTTCAAGTTACTTTTATTTGAAAACAAGCGATTGCATTGTTATTGACATTTAACGTTTTGCTCTTAGTATCAAATGCTTTTGTCATAAACGGAGAGAACCGTCTTAATAGAGTGTGAGTTAATCAAATTAATAATTTTCCTAAGTGTTTTCGATTCGTACGAAGAAAAAATAAACACTACACAAAGGGTGCGTACAGTGGTAAACGGAACAATTTTGCTATGGCAAAATGGAATGCTTGTCGAAAAACTTGACGAAATGAGAGCACGTATGAGCGTTTAATTTTGTACACAATCCAAACACATTAAGTTGTATCTAACATAATGTTAAACACTCTATTTAATATCTGCAATAAAAAGACTAGAGGCTTATCTTATGACTATTTATTGATTACCAAGTCAATTTAGATTGTAACCATTCCGTATCCTCATTAAGCTTTTGGATGACGTCATCAGGCTGAAGCGATGGCCGCATCTACAAAATAGCATTTCCATGTATACCACCAAATGAGATGTCCACATTCTCAGCTTTTCACACCTACGGACGAAGCTATAGATGGTTGTGTCGTTGAAGCATGCTTTACTGGTCTGTTTAGAACTGCGCGTTTGTCCAAGGAAACCTTCGAGTTTGTCATCATGATAACAAAGGAGTCAGTAAGGATTTGTCAATGTTTCGCAGTAATGAAATACACTGGCAGTCGAAGAAAGAGCAATATTTTTTTAAACTTATTCGACAATTTCAAGACTCAATAGAAGGATAAGTTGTAAATGCCATTGTTATTAATGTTCTGATCCATTGTATTGCTGAGGTGTTTCAATCCAGATTGACTGACCATGGCATATATCTCTGCCGGCCAAAGACAATCGCAATTTTTTATCATTTAATAGAATTATTATTACCATTATCATTATTACTGTTATTATTGCTATTATTTATATTATTATTCATCTATTTAATATTTCTTTTTTATCAACTATTAATCGCAACTTATGAATTATCATCTCAGACCCAACGGGTAGCTTTTTTAAACCTCGGAGTGTGCATAATAAAAGAAATCGAAGTATCGAGGTGAAGCTCTTTAAGAATTGCGTCGACTAAAAAATCCTGACGAAGTATTTGATGCTCTCCAGTGCAATTTGAGGAGAATCGGGTATACGTTGTCCTCGTGTTTCCGCGATTGTGTCGGAAAAGCTGTTCACAGCAGGGTAGAATATACAGTTAAGAAGGTGAACCAAGCCTCGAATGGCAACATTCGCCGGGCCGTCAAATCCAAGTGCTGGGCTTCCCTATTATTACTTCCGGACGAGATTCTCCAAGAGCCAGATGGGATGATTGAGGGACTGTTAAATAAACAATAAGACCTAGTTACTGAAAACCAAAGACTACGGACCGAGATTGAAGGTAACAATATATCTATTCTATCCAGTTTGAAACAATGCGATACATTTGTCATCAACCCAAAGTGCCTACACTTCTATCAAGTGGACTGATCAAACGACAACTTTTTTGTGTTTAAAGATAAAGAGACCTACGGTTTAGAGCCAAGATCGCTTAATTTTGAAGATAAGGCTGGTCGCCCAACAAACATAACCTTTGCTTCACAGCATTTTCCTGGTAAAAACTTGGCAGAATTTCACTAATATCAAATTTCAGTCTTTTCCATGTCAATTAGCACAAAAGTTTTGTGTCTGACGTCTCTTGCTGTTTCTTGCAGAAAAGACCGAAAACATTGCTTCTGCAAAAAGAAGGCAGGTGTTACCACGCGAATCAACAGTTACAAGTATGTTGAAAGCAGTAATATGTAACTGATTACATGATATTGTTACAACTCAAATATTGCCTTAAAAATGTTAGCCAAGTTGTTTCTGAAAATTGCAAATTAAGTCACTGTCAAATTAAGAACCCCTGGTAGAGCACAGGGTGCTGAACTGCCTTTCAAGCGCCTCCTTGAAAAGGAAGTTGGAAATTTTGTAAGTTTTATGTCTCTGATAAACCTTTTCATACATGCCACAGAAAATACAATGACTTATGGGACCACCATTCAAGCATTGCTCATTTTCTTCGCTTGCCTTAAGTCTAACATTTTACTTATTTTACAGGTGAAGAACAATGCAGATGGCACTACTAAAGTGAAAGTTAAAATATCAGGAGATGGAACAACGATTTCCCATAGCAGCAATTTGTTCGTTTGCTCATTTGCCCTTGTGGAAGATGGCAAAAGATGTTTGTCTAGTGCAGGTACATTTTCTACCATTCTTTTGTCGTAGGTCAACAAAATAATAACAAAAACATGTACCTTTTCTTTAGGAAATCATACAATAGCAATAGTGAATGGCAAAGAGGATTATGCAACTCTGAAGGAGTCACTTGTGAATGTGGTCAAGGATGTAAACAATCTAATTGAGAAGGGCTACATCCTAGTTGATGGAAGACAGATCAAGCTGGAGTTTTACCTCAGAGGTGATTATAAGGTAAAGCATCATACAAAAGTTAACCGTCGGTTAGTAGGAATTGTTTTAGAATTCACAAAATTTAAGTTCTCTTTTTAATTTTAATCCTTAACTAATGCACGGTATTTCTCTCTCTCGTTCCTTTCATTTCTTTTTATCTTCTCCCAACACATTTTTTACTGTCATCTGGGATTGTCGGTGTCAGCTTTCCTGGCACCATAGACTATCGAGGATCGTAACTTTAAACTTCACCGCCAAAGGTTCTCCCATGCCATCCATCTCATGGATAAAGAACAACGATCCACTTGCTATACAGTCCAACCCAAGAATAAAATACATTCAGACTGCCCTGGACGACAAACAAATTCATAGCCAACTGGTAATAGAAGATGCAAAGAAGGAATATAAAGGAAAATATCACTACGTTGCAAATAATACCGCAGGAGAAAAAGCATCCAACCCGGCTTTCTTGTCCACAGAGGATTTAGGTGAAGATTTAGGTGAGGCTTAGGCGATTTTTAAATATGCTTAAATAATGCACAGTATCTCCCTTTCATTCCTCTCACCGGGTATCAGCATTTTTTATTTGTTTCCTGTACTTCTTTCACATCTTCTCTCTTAGACAACTGGGCGAGGATTGTTGGGGATCTGGGGAACCAAACTTGTATGATTCGTTGAATTTACATTCTATAGCGCCGCTGACAGTATATCTAGGGCGCAGTTTTCCACGCAATGTGCGTTGCCTACGCCTCGTTTGAGGTTAGCTTTAAGCTAAGGATTTTGAAGCTGTCTTGCAAGAAGCACTAACTTCAAATCGTCACCGGATAGATCCTCGCATTGTAAATCGTTGTTTACAAGAATATAAGGAATCTGGACGCATACAGGTTGTTGTGTCGTATGTATTTACGCCAAGCGTAGCTGGCCCCTACGTAATTCAAATTTAGAGTTCTTATGTCAAGATCTGTTTACAAGAGTGGTTTGTCATCAGCTGACCGGCAAACAGAAAAGAAAATCGGCCAGTAGTTCGAAGGTAAAAGTTGTCTTTGAAGAATCGCACGTATAGTAACTCGACATATTGCTGAAGAGGCGCCGAATAAATTGTCAGAAGTCAACGCGTTTAGGAGCGACGAGGGCGGTGGAAATTTGAATGTATAGCCACCGTTAGCCGTAGGCCTACGTGGATTTAATTTCTGTTGGCGAAAATCTTCGAGGTTCAACTATGGAAACTAGGAAGAAAGCACCGAGCGAGATTTTGAATGAAGAGGAAGTCAACACCGAAGAGAGCCGTTCATGCTGGGCGTCGGAGAGCTGGACATTTAGGAGAACTGTGAAAATGTCGTGCAAGATTTTATTACAAGCTCAGGAGTTGAAAAACAGAAGTAGAAGAAACCGTTGCCAGGTATGAAGAATGAATGGAGCGAGAAAAAGAAGACAGAAGAAAAAAAAGCCCCCACCTGAGTTCAATTTTGGTCACCGGCGTCAGCTTCAGGAGGGAATCTCACTCCTTAGTTAGCTCTGTGACTCGACACTCTCCTTAACTAACTACAACACCTGCGCCTGGCACAATTCTGCCACCATTGTACTCTATTGCGAACTTATCACCAGCGAGTTTCCAGTCAACACCCGCTTATTATTGTGCCCCAAGAACAAGTCTTACTGAAGTCAACCCAGTGTTTGTTTCACAATCGACCCACCTTTGTCAATGCAATACCCGTACCTCTCCTTAGTCACTGACCTCTGCACAGCGGTCAGAAGCTTGGAAACAGTTGCACAAGGGATCAAGCTAGGTCCATCCCCACCAAAAGTAGAGTTAAAAAAGTTCAGTGGGGATGTGATAATTACGCTAATGAGAAAGCTTCCCGATGAAGGTCTTAAAAGAAAGTCGGTCGATACAGCAGGAGATCTCATCAAGAGCAATGGTCGAGCTGCGTATTTGGTTTCATTAATTTTGTTAGAGAGGCAGCACAGCGTTTCAACAATGGATATGGAAAAGAACCGGATTTTTTTACATGTGCTAAGAGAGAAAGTAAGGAGTCTGGCAAAGGAAAGGCAGATTACCGGGTTAAAGTCACAACACTTGCTACTTACAGTGAAGAAGATCAGCAGGGCATCGCCATACCTACCGGAGTTCCACTGAAGTGTCCACAGTGCTCGGGACCACATGGAGTCTGGAGCTGTCGGATGTTTAGAAGCTCCTCTTTAAGAGATCGTTCAAAGACTGTGAGACAACACCGACTTTGCAGAGCATGTCTCTCACAGGGACATAACGCGAAACAGTGTCCCAGAGGATTCCCATGCTCAAAGCCAGGGTGTGGCTAAGACCATCATTATCTAATCCATTTTAGTGAAGCCGACGGAAATGGGAGTGGCATCTAGACTAACGGCCATAATACGTTTCGAAGTGCCGAAAGGAATGGTGCAGCAAAAGGAACTGTCGCAGATCTCCGCTACGTTCCAGGGTCAATAGCCGCTAAGATTGGATCAGATAATCCTCCGAGCACTAAAACTCCACCTAGTGAGCCTGTTGCTGTGGGCGTGGTAGGGACCAGTCGACCTCGAGTGTGCTTGAAGGTTGTCCCAGTTAAAATCAGTAGTCGCAATGGTGCCAAAGAGATAGTTACTCATGTGAGTGTTCTTGGTCAGATGCTAGTTCCTGCCTCTCTTAAGGAGATACAGAGTTCAAACTTAGACATGTGTTAACCGCAGGGAGTCTTCCTTTTACGCTAGTGCATATGGCTACCAACGAGGAAATAAGGAAGTAGCCTCACTTTGCTGACATCAGTGTACCCGAAACAGGAGATAAAAGAGTAACAATCCTGATAGGCAGTGATCATCCAGAAATTATCCACTTGCAGTTAGACTAGAGGGAAGAACATAATACACACTGAGCGTGAAGTTCTTGATGCACAA